ACAATGCCTTTAAAATCCCATTTTTGAAGGCAGATTAATTCCATCTGGTGGGAGAAAAAAAATAACTTGTGCAATTCCATGGTTTAGCCACTAGATTCCTATACTGTATAGCTCTATGTAAAAGGCTTATAAATTCTTTTTTTTTTGTGGATTTGGTTTTATATTAAGACATTCACAAAGACAACTTTTTGTAAAGGTTTAGATTTGTGTGTGTGTGTGATGTTGGTTTGAAATGTCAGTTTTTGCATTAATTTTACTAGTCAAACCAAACATGAACACAAAGAAAGACATTTTATTACACAACATCAAAGTTAAACAAAAATGTAACATAAATGAACAGGAATACTTTATCAGAGGTTAATCAATCTGATTTCAACCTGTTATTTGAGTCTTCTGACTCAATTTCCCATATTGTTACAGCCACACCAGTTCATTTGTGTGTATAATAGTGTATTGTGTGTGTGTGTGTGTGTAAGCGAGTGTGTCTTTTTTGTACTCTTGAAGTTTTAGAGTGTCACCCCTTTGCTTGGTGTCTGTTTTTACTGCGTTGTGGCTAAATTATTGATTTTATTTCACGCATTTGCAAAACCGTGCTTTGTGTTACAGCCACACCAGTTCATTTGTGTGTATAATTGTGTATTGTGTGTGTGTGTGTAAGCGAGTGTGTCTTTTTTGTACTCTTGAAGTTTTAGAGTGTCACCCCTTTGCTTGGTGTCTGTTTTTACTGCGTTGTGGCTAAATTATTGATTTTATTTCACGCATTTGCAAAACCGTGCTTTGTGTTAGTCACACACTAGTTCATAGTGTGTCGGGGGTGGGTGGAATGCGTCTGTTTTGCACTCTTGATATTTTAGAGTGTCACCCCTTCATTGCTGTGCACTGTGTTTCTGCATAATGAATGATTTGTAGATTGTACACACCAAAATTCTCTGCATTTTTGCGTATTTCCCATTCATTTCCAATGGCGGTCATTTTTGTCCGCGAACAACACAAGTGTGACTTTTTTTTACGACCATTTAGCTTTTTGTGTGTGTATGTGTGTGTGTGTGGTCACATAGCAACTTGCGTAAAAGTAATCGATTTTCATATCATTCCGATGAAGTAGTGATTTTTAAAATGTCTAAACATTTTTTTTTCGGTCTAAAATGACCGAACAACACCAGAGGGTTAAAGTAAACTCTCCCCTTACCATTAGAGGGCGCGGTGTGGTCACATGACAGTCGCAGGGTGCATGCAGCAGGGAAGTGAAGCGAGGAAGACGAGCCTCTAAACTTTTGGAATGAACCGAGTTATTTGACAAAAATGCAAACCATCATAAGTTAACGGGTAAGTATGTGCAAAGCAGTCGTTTTTGTGGATAAATGTCCCACGCCGAATGTAGTTTATAGATACATGCTTCGTGTAGAATTGTTGTGGCTGGTGTCATGCGCGTCTGTTAGCTACTGTACAGTGTTTCATGTTGTTCATTGTAATTCTGCCCACAATGAGCGCGCTGCGACTGACACAAAATAAACATGAACAAATGTTGTTATATACCCTCAGTTAATGAGACACAGGAAATCACAAGCATAATAGGATATCATACTTTTTCAGCAATGCAAAGAAAGTAAGATTTAGCGTTTTGCAGAGCCGAAGAGCGATTTGTTGACCGTGTCTCAAAATCTAGTGTGATGCTGATGCCCAATCAGACAGCATTTGATGGCCAACATGTTTTAAGTAGACAGCTTACTAGATTTTGAAACGCAGCACTTAAGAACTCGATATATATATATATTATTTTATATCATAAAATATCCCCCATCAATACCAATAAATACATATTTAAAAAACCCGGATAATATCTTGAATCGATTTAATTGCTTTGTTTCTGTCATTTTACAAAATAATAAATATAACCATTAGGCTCCAACCATACAATTTGCATTATGACTGTATATCATTGTTTATATGTTAATTGGTCTCACACTTTTGTTTTTATACTAAATAACTATTAGTATAAATTACAAATATTGATCAGACCAATTATTGTCCTATTTCAAATTATAACACTGTAAATTCTCACAGAGGAAGGAACTTGGAGGTCTTCTTGGATTGCTCCAGGTTCCCCCTGCCATGGCCAAGTCCAAGAAAGGTGAGTTAGTTGATTTCAAGGTTATTCATAACGGCATTCCAGTCACTATGCAAGTTCAGGTCAGTTAATGCATCCCATATCAAAAAAAGCATCTGGTATTCTTCAGATTTGATTCCCGTATCAAGTGTGAAATGCACATTGTTTACATACCTTAGATTTTTCATATTTTATCATGCTGTGCTTGTAGGTATGGACAGCCCTGCAGACCCTCCAAGAAGAGGCAGGAAGCCCAAATCCCTTGGTGCTGCTCCAAAAGTTGGTAAACAACAGAGTGCTCTAGTCAGCACGAAGAGCACAGTGACTGGCTTTCAGCTACTCTCTGGCCAGACATCCCTCAAGCTACCAGCTGAAAACAGCATCTCAGGAAACCATGGCTCTATCCACGAAGATGAACAAGATGCTCCAGAAACACAGAGTTCTGAGTCTGGTAATGCTGCCAAGAGCATCACCACTTTGTCCTTACCTGCAGCCAGACAGGAAGGGGATGCCCAGAGAGGGCCGGAGGAGTTTAAAGCTGTGAATACTGCTCCACCACGTTTGGCTTGGAAAACCATGGTTAGACCCGCACCAGCTCCATCTGCTCTGAAGGTAGCCTGCTGTTTGCTTATGTACTTTCTAGTTCATAGTAATTAGTTATGGGTATTTATTTATTGTCACCCAAAATTGTGGGGGGGACTAACAGACATTTATACACTTGTATACATATTATCTTACATATGCTCTACCGTTCAGAAATTTTGGGTCAGAAAGATTTTTTTAAATGTTTTTTTTTTTATAGTATTATTTTTTATGTTTTCTTATGTTCACCAAGGCTACATTTATTTCATGAAAATAATGTTTTTCATGTTTCCTATTTTTAAAATGTAATTTATTTCTGTGAGGGCAAAGCTGAATTTCCAGCATCATTACTCCAGTCTTTAGTGTCACATGATCCCTCAGAAATCATTCTAATATGATGATTCGGTGCTCAAGAATCATTTCTTATTATAGCCACAGTTTAAACGGTTGTGCTGCTTAATAATTTTGTGGAAACCATGATAAAAAAATGTTTCCAGGATTCTCATGGATTCTGATTATTAGAAAGTTCAAAAGAACAGCATTTGTTCAAAATAAAACTATTTTGTAACAGTGTAAATCTTTACTATGTCTTTGGACTGCTGAATAAAATCATTAATTTCTTTAAAGAAATCTTTCTGCCCCCAGAAAAGACTTTATATATCTTACGTATATGTCTGTTTTTACTAATGCAACAACATAGACAATGAACAGAGAGGAAAGTGCATGTGAAAGGGATGTGGAGTCCTCGCCCACACAGCATCTCAGTTTACCTCAGGAACTCAAAGACTCAACACAACCCGGTGAGGACTTTTAGCTAAAGAGCTACAATACATTATAACCTCTTTTTTTAGAAAACGAGAGTGAAACAAATGGCCCGTCCCTTTGTTTCTATTCTTCTGCAGCGTCCAAGAAGAAGAAAAGAAAAATGGGCTTATATAATTTTGTTCCCAAAAAGAAACCGAAAGTGTCCAAGAAACCGAATGTTTCGTTGTCCTCTTCAAATGCGCAGGTCTGACATCTTGCACATTAGAGACTAATTCCATATGTGTGAAATTGAGTCATTCATTTCAGTCAATTCTGAACATTTAAGATTTTTGTTTCCAAACCCTGCAGGAGGATTCACATACAGCTGGATCCAAAGGTGGACAAATGTCCATTGAGGAGGCATTCAAAAATAGAGTTAGTCCTGAGAAACCAGAGAAACAGACTTCAGCGGCTGATACAGAAACTGCAGCTGAACCGCCTAAGACCAAGGAAACAGAGGACCTTCCTCAAGGCCACGCTGAAGAATACACAGAGCTGCCTATACATGCTCTGGCTCATGAAAGCATGTTCACAGCAATCCCCACAGGTAGATAATATCTGCACCTGAAGACAATAGAATTGAGGTCCACTGCTTGCTTGCTTTTTATTTAAATGTGTATACTTCCTATCTGTTTGTTTTCATCTGATAGGTTGATCTCAGAATGAGCAGAGACAGGTTTCAGACAGAGCATTCTGACTTTGTGAGGCAGTAAGACCACACGGCAACATGCATGCAGACCTTTTGTAAAAAATAAACACCTTTTGTCGCATACTTGCTTGATTTCATATTACATCATAATAAAAAAGAAAAAACTGGCAGATCAGGGAGGGTTTAGTTGCATAGGACATTTCTAGAATCAGAGGGCAAAAACAGTAAAAGATCCACTTTCTGGTACCTCAAGTGGAATCAAGTTTTTGTGTTTATCAGGTTTGCCGAAGGATAAAGAGAACATGGAGGCTGATGACTCGCTGGAACCTCCACTGTGCAGCTGTCGCATGGAGGCACCGAAGAACCAGGATGTAGTAACGCTTGCTGAGGGCAAGTGCATGGCTGTAGAGAGTGTTGATGGAAAGGTAAAACATGCTTCATGTTTCAAAACATCTGTCTGTGAAAGGATAACAAAATGAAATCATTAATACATTCACACCACTGCAACAGTCATTTTTTTTGGGTGCTAAGTACAGTTACATTCACACAATAACTGTAGTGTATGCTTTTGATGTGTGATGAGTGAATGGTGAATCAGTTTGAAGAAAGTGGGTATTAAAGAATATTTGTCTCTCTCTCTAGCTGAGTTTATGTCGGAAGGTGATTCTGAAGCAGGAAATGATGCGTCCCTCTCTGAGGATTCCATTGCTGGTGTTGTGTGAGGATCATCGTGCGGGCATGGTGAAACACCAGAGCTGCCCGGGCTGTGGCTTCTTCTGCCGGGCTGTAAGTAAAACATACACTAGCATTTAAAAGTTTGGGGTCGGTAAGATTTTTTTAATGTTTTTGAAAGTGTGCATTTATTTGATCAAAAATACAGTTAAACAGTAATATTGTGAAATATTATTACAATTTAAAATAAGTTTTTTTATTTAAATATATTTTACATTTTTATTTATATTACTGTGATTGCAGCGTTACTCCATTCTTCAGTGGCGCTTGAAGAAAAAAAACAACTTTTGAGTGGTGTTTGAAGTTTTTTTATTTTTTTTGAGAAGTATCACAAAAATAAGATTGTATACACACTCATCATTAATTTTTATTCTAACAAACAAATACATTAGGGACAAAGTTTTTGAGTTGGCCTTGGGATGCCTTTGTAGAAATGTGCTATTATCACATTTGATCAGCTATTAGCAGTCAGCCATGATTAATAAGCGTTTTGTGAGGTTCATGTAGAATTAAACAGATTTTCTTAGATCTCATGTGAGTGGGCTTGATTTTAAAGCGGTGGTTGATTGATTTCACATTTTTACTGTGTAATGTTGCTGTTAGAGCATAAACAACATCTGCAAAGTTGCAACGCTCAAAAGTTCAATGCAAAGGGAGATATTTTCTTTTTAAGAAATTGCTGTTTAAGGACTACAAAAAAGGCTGGTAGGGACTACAACGAGCTTCTACCTGGGTTTGTGACATCACTAACCCTGATGTTTACATAAACACTGCCCCCAGGCACATGCAACTACCCATAGTGGGTAGTTGGGGGGTGGGACTTTTCCGGACAATGTGCACTAGGCGGTTAGCAAATCACAACACACTGGGCCAGCTAACCAATCTGAGCCCATTGTGTATTTCATAGGAACTCAACCAGGAACTCAACAGACCGTTTTGACAAGAACGGAAACAGTGGTGTAGAATAAAGGTAAAATATAGGAATGCACGGTATTGGATTTTTGCCAATATCCGATATGCTGATAATTTTCAACTAATTTTGGTCGATAGCCGATGCCGATACCGATATATAATTATTTTTAATTTTGGTTAGTTTTTAACAAGAACTTATTTGTTAGAATTAAATAAACAATAATAACGTTCTTTTATAATTACAGTACATTGAAGATTTGAAAACAACTATAAATAAACTATATATTAATCACTGCCGCCGCTTCACGTGCTATTACTGTTTGCTCTATCACACACGAATGCTTCATTCTGTACGTGCATTCACAGATTAAATGCAGCGATCCAAAACAGTGAATCCAATCACCATTCAGGCAAAACATTGCTTCAAGAATGAGCCACAATGTTGACCTGATCTGATCGCTAGCACACCCTGAGCACATGTGAGTTAATGTATTCAATCAGTCTTATATCAAGCTTTATGATTGATAACTGTGATTGTTTTGATGGTAATCAGTGGAAGGTGTGGACCCAAACTTGCGGATGGACAGTGAGAAGAGGAAGACTCCCTTGCATTGTGCTGCTGAGGAGGGACATAAAGAGATCTGCCATATACTAGTGCAGGTACTGCTTATGCTAGTAACACACATTCACATTCAAAAATGATCTGTGTTTCAAAATATACACTACCATTCAAAAGTTTAGGGTCTGTAAGTTTTTTTATGTTACTGAAAATGTCTTTTATGCTCAGCATACTGTATTTTTTTAAAATTAAAATACAGTAAAAACAGATATTGATGCATATTATTACGATTTGATTTTTTGTTTGTTTTTAATTAGTTTTTAATGTTTCAAAATGTAATTTATTCCTGTGATGGCAAAGTTGAATTACTTCATTCTTTAGTGTCACATTTTTCGTCTAATTAGCTAATTTGGTGGTCAAGAAACATTTTTATTATTTTTTTTATAAGAATTAAAAACAGTTGTAATAGGACCTGATGCCATTACTTTGTATAACATGGGTATTAACTTAAATTATTTAGTTTCTTTTATTATTTTATTTAATTTTTTTATCTTTTAATTTTTATCTTTCATTATTTTTTTAATATTCCATTTTCCATGATTACATCCAATATAATATGCTCATCCAATATAATGAATGCAAAATTTTAGAATATAAAGGATATCTGTATCTCACTATAGGCTGGTGCGAACCTGGACATGTGTGATGCGGAGCAGAGAACTCCTCTGATTTATGCCTGTGAGAACAATCATCTAGAAACAGTGAAATACTTGCTGAAAGCTGGTGCTTCTACTGGGCATAAGGTATGATAGCCAGCCTTTTCTGTCAATCAGCTGTTAAATACAAAATGTTTTGCTACAGTTATGCTACCCATTGAGTTAATGAGGAATTGAAGTCCCTAAGCCACTGTATGCCACGTGTTCAGTATGCAAGGTATTTGCATGCTTAAGCTAGTAATTTATGCCTTCACTTCACAGGATATGAGAGGCTCTACATGTCTTCACTTGGCAGCCAGAGGAGGACACACAGGTGTGCTGCAGTATCTTGTCTCCATGCCATCCATAGACGTCAACTGTAAGGTAACGCTGTGCACGAGTTTGTAGAATATATATTTTTCTGTACATGCCATATTTATTTACCCTTAAATGGCTTTTTTAAAGGATGTTATAAGCAGTACTTGACAGCAAACCTACCCATTCTTAGATGCTTTATGAATGCTGGAGTGCTTGGGTGCTGATATTAAAGGGATTATAATAATTGAATTGAGTTTATGGGTTTGATCTTCTGGTCAGGATGATGGTGGGTGGGCTCCTCTTACCTGGGCAACTGAGAACATGAATCTAGAGCAGGTGAAGATGCTGATCTCAGTGGGAGCTGATGTCCAAATAAGAGATAAGGTCTGTGACTGAGTATTTCATCTAAATTTTTCAGCTTTTTGATGCACTTCTTTCACCTTGTTTGATGATCTTTAAAGGGGTCATATGATGCGATTTAAATTTTTCCTTTCTCTTTGGAGTGTTACAAGCTCTTGGTGCATAAAGAAGATCTGTAAAGTTGCAAAGACTAAAGTCTCAAATCCAAAGAGATATTCTTTATAAAAGTTAAGAGTCAGCCACACCTACCTAAAACGGCTCATTCTAACACGCCCCCACATATCTACCTCACTATGTGGGAAGATTTGCATAACGCCGCCCAAAAAACCGCATAAACACATTTCATTACACCAAATACACAAAATAATGTTATTTTTAGCAGCATCATATGACCCCTTTAAAATCAGACTGCGCAAACGCATTGCCTGCAGTTAATAGATTTCTGGCGGAGCATGTACACTACCATTCAAAAGATTAATACATTCTTGTATTCGGCAAGAAGGCATTAAATTGATCCAGTGACAGTAAATACATTTACATTGTTACAAAAAATATTTGTCAAATAAATGCTGTTCTCTGAACTTTCTATTCATCAAAGAATCCCGAAAAAGCTCTTTTCAACATTGATAATAAAAGACATTTTTTCTTGAGCACCAAATCAGCATATTAGAATGATTTCTGAAGGATCATGTGATACTAATCTTATCAACCCCAAACTTTAAAACACTAGATTTTATCATCCAGAGATGAATTTTGCTTGTGGTCTGATATGTTATCTAGGAGGAGAATATCTGCCTCCACTGGGCAGCGTTCTCTGGCTGTGATGAGATCGCTCAGGTGCTGCTTGACAAGAGATCTGACCTACACGCTGTGAACATCCATGGAGACTCACCTCTCCACATTGCTGTCAGACAGAACCAGCTGGACTGTGTAATGTAAGTGTAGAACAGAAAGAGTATACCTAGTTAACTGGGAGCAAGACCTTTTAAATGGTATTCAAGTCAGATTCAGCTGTAAAGCATCTCTAAAATACAGTAGTGTTATTATTGTTTATCTTAAGGCAGTTCAGTTCAGTGTTGCTTCAGTTCAGACCAATAACAGTTTATTAATTTGAAATGAGTTCAGTTAAACTATTTGCAATTCTACATAAGGCATCCTGAATTAATCCATGGATTCCCAAACTTTCAAATAGATAAAATGTATCAGATAAAGAAAAGTGTTTATCAATTTAATCAATTGAATTAATGTTTTCATTATTTAATTCCGTATTAGCTTTCCTCCAATTCACAATCCACCTCCTGTAGTTCCCTCACTAATAAACCCCAATTTGGAGTCCCTCAATTAATCTAATGTTTTTATCATCCAAGAATAGACAAAGGTTTACGGTTGAAACTGTCATTTGTAAAAGGACTAATCTGAAGCTTTGGCTGTTTTCTAGGCTGTTTCTGTCGCGAGGAGCAGATGTAAATCTGAAGAGCAAGGATGGCGAGACTCCTTTGGACTGCTGTAGTATAAATTCCAAGATGTGGACGATCCTGAACACCAATAAGAAGCTGACAGATGCTCGGAGAGGCAGAGACAGCCTAAGTGAAAGACTCCTCTGCAGGTAATGCAAGAATACTAGGCTCAAATCTTTCTGTTTTGCAGGGTAATATCACAGACGGTTTTTTGTATTTTGTTACATATTCAAATTTTTTTCCAAGCGTCTTGGAGATGTTTCTACAGTTCTTACGGATTTAGTCTGTCTCCATTTTTTTCTGTTTCTTTATGTAACTGCCGACACGCTTGATGATGGTGAGATTAGATTTCGGTTTTTCGAGACTCATTGTGCATAAAAATATCTTACTGAATTACAATTTATGGCAAGAGAAATGTTTGGAAATGCAAATTGATACTTCCTGCTGGCATGTTAAAGCAAAATATAGAGATTAAAACATTTTTTTCTTTGTGAGTCCAATGCAATATTCCAAGTCCCCACATAAAGGCTAAGATATTTTTGGTATTTATGCTGGAATTATTAATTTTTTCTGAACAAAAACATTATTGATATTTTAATTAACCACCATTAATTTTATGATTCTATTAGTTTCAATGCACGATCCTCAATAAAAAAAGGGAAATTGCTTTTTACTGTCTTTTTTTTCTTGAGATGATTCAAGAAAAACTCAAGACAATTTTGACAAGATAAGTTTGTTGTTAAACACTAAATAATTAATTAATACACAATGTTACAGAACAGAAAACTATAGAAAATAATAATGATTGGCCTCTGTATGTTTTGTAAGCTATTATTTGCTACTCTATGATGATACTGCTATGGAAACGTCTATGAATTTCAAGTCCATACTGTAATGCAGTATTTATATTGAATTAATCAGTACTGCTTATTTTCAAATAAGATTTTTGCAGCTTCTGTTCCATTGAAAACCAAAAAAACTGGCAACAGCTGAAACATTATCCCATTCATTTAGCTTGACTACAAGAATTCTATAGTCTCCACACATTTCTGAGTCTGCCTCCTGCTCTCCTTTGGAAGGAAGATTGGCCTCAAAATGTATTGAACGTTTGACACAGAATGTGAAATATTATTTGATTGTGGGACTGTTGTGTGTTGGTTTTCAGAGATGTGTCCCGAGGCTATGAAGACGTCCCTGTGACATGCGTGAATGGGGTGGACCATGAGCCCTGCCCCAGCAACTTCAAATACGTTCCAGAGAACTGTTTTACCTCTCAAGTTAATATAGACGAGAACATAACGCATTTACAGGTAAGAGGCTCAGAGAATCGTAGTGTCAAAAGCCATAACAAGGTTAACGCTGTTATTACAGCTATATGAAATGCTCGTCTCTCTCTCTCTCTCTCTCTCTCTCTCTCTCTCTCTCTCTCTCTCACTGGAATAGCACTGCAATTGTAAAGATGACTGTGCATCAAGCAGCTGTATCTGTGGCCAGCTCAGCATGCGCTGTTGGTATGACAAGGTAAGATGCTGCTAGTGCTGAATTATTCACGTTAGCAAAATAAATGACATGGGAATAATTCAGTGACATAAACAATAGATGTTGCCAATCCCAGCTCTTTCGCAGCTGTTCCACAACATATTAATAGTCACTAATCATGATCGTGCTGTGATGTCATCATGACCATATGATTTGTGTAATGCTTATTATTAAAATTAGTAGTATTTTTGATTTCTTTGTGCTCAGGATGGCCGCTTGTTGAAAGAGATCTGCAGGGATGACCCACCCTTTCTGTTTGAGTGTAACCATGCCTGTTCCTGTTGGAGAACATGCAGAAATAGAGTGATACAGAATGGCCTTCGGTAATATAACCAGTATATATGTATTTTTGCATATTCTCTGAATGTGTCATAAACTTTGAATTTACGTACTCACAACTTCATAATATTCTCGTCTTTAGGGTCAGACTGCAGGTGTTTAGGACTGAGAGGAAGGGCTGGGGGGTCCGAGCACTGCAGGATATTCATGAGGGAACTTTCGTATGCGAGTATGACCCTCTCTCTACATCAGTTGCTTTACACATATTAATAAAAATACACAAAAATTAACACAAATCCACAACAATATTCAAAGGCTTTATAACTTTTCCCAGTTGTTTGTTATTTACTGGATAGGAATTTCTTTGCTCATAGTTTCTACCCAGTCAATTTTTTAGGGCTTGGCACAACTAGAAAAAAAAAACGTATTTTAAAAAATCCAGGTGTCGAAATGGCACTTTTAAAATTATATATCTAGGACAGTAGGAATCCTGGTTCTTTAAAGACATTTTTTTATATATTAATATTAAGTTATAATAATATGATAAGTTCTTGTTTACATAATATATGTGTGTGTACTGTGTATATTTATTATGTATATAGTAAATACAAACACATGCATGTATATATTTAAGAAAAAAATTTTATGTTTATATATTAAATATATTTGTAAGAGGCTCGTAGTGTCAAATGCCATAACAAGGTTAACGCTGTTATTACAGCTATATGAAATGCTCGTCTCTCTCTCTCTCTCTCTCTCTCTCGCTCTCTCTCTCACTGGAATAGCACTGCAATTGTAAAGATGACTGTGCATCAAGCAGCTGTATCTGTGGCCAGCTCAGCATGCGCTGTTGGTATGACAAGGTAAGATGCTGCTAGTGCTGAATTATTCACGTTAGCAAAATAAATGACATGGGAATAATTCAGTGACATAAACAATAGATGTTGCCAATCCCAGCTCTTTCGCAGCTGTTCCACAACATATTAATAGTCACTAATCATGATCGTGCTGTGATGTCATCATGACCATATGATTTGTGTAATGCTTATTATTAAAATTAGTAGTATTTTTGATTTCTTTGTGCTCAGGATGGCCGCTTGTTGAAAGAGATCTGCAGGGATGACCCACCCTTTCTGTTTGAGTGTAACCATGCCTGTTCCTGTTGGAGAACATGCAGAAATAGAGTGATACAGAATGGCCTTCGGTAATATAACCAGTATATATGTATTTTTGCATATTCTCTGAATGTGTCATAAACTTTGAATTTACGTACTCACAACTTCATAATATTCTCGTCTTTAGGGTCAGACTGCAGGTGTTTAGGACTGAGAGGAAGGGCTGGGGGGTCCGAGCACTGCAGGATATTCATGAGGGAACTTTCGTATGCGAGTATGACCCTTTCTTTAGATCCTTTGCTTTACACATTATTAAAAAAATTCACAAAAATAAGCATGAATCCACAACAAAATTATTCAAAGGCATTGCGACTTTTCCAGTTGTTTTTGATTTACTGGATAAGGATTTTTAAATATATACAGTGGTGTGAAAAAGTGTTGGCCCCCTTCCTGATTTCTTATTTTTTTGCATGTTTGTCACACTTTAATGTTTCAGATCATCAAACAAATTTAAATATTACACAAAGATAATGCAAGTAAATACAAAATGCAGTTTTTAAATGATAATTTCATTTATTAAGGGAAAAAAGCTGTCCAAACCTACGTTAAAAGTTAATTGCCCCCTCCTGTTAAATTATGAAAGAACTGCAATTAACCACATTATTTTAGAAAGCTGAGTTAAATTTCATTAGCCACACCCAGGCCTGATTACTGCCAGACCTGTTGAATCAAGAAATCACTTAAATAGAACCTGTCTGACAAAGTGAAGCATTCTTAAATAGCAACTAATTCAAGATCAGATGAGAATCAAAACAGTTGACATGTATCAGTCTGGAAAGGATTATAAAGCCATTTCTAAGGTTTTGGGACTCCAGCGAACCATGGTCAGAGCCATTATCCACAAATTGAGAAAACTTGGAACAATGGTGAACCTTCCCAGGAGTTGCCGGCCAACCAAAATTACTCCAAGAGCACAACGACAACTCATCCAAGAGGTCATAAAAGAACCCAGAACAACATATAAAGAACTGCAGGCCTCACTTGCCTCAATTAATGTCAGTGTTCATAATTCAACAATAAGAAAGAGACTGGGCAAAAACAGCATCCATGGGAGTTCCGGAGTGCAACTCATAATTTCCTAAATCTCAGCTTCAAGGAAGGACAATTTGTGCAGAGATACAGCATCATTTATTTTATCACCACGCTGTTGAGGGCATTTGTAATAAGACATTTAATCAAAGGTGTTTTGGGCCTTTTTTATTTGAATTTGTCTCACAAAGATTTTATTTGCTTAGGATGATGGTAAGGCTCCTTAATTGTATGAGATATAGGTACTACCATATTAGACTTTTATACATTTTTAAACAAACTGTTACATACTTGGTATAAAAAACAGGGGTTTTAGCTGATTTTCATAAGCAAAAACGAAAGTAGTAGTAGAACAGATGGACATGTTTTGCTGCCTTTTTTTTACTCCATGTCTTCTCAGGAGCAGAGATCAGGGCTGTTTTCTAATCAGTTTTTCTATGTAGCCTATTGAAATTTCACTATGAAATGGTTACAGAATTGTAATATCATACCTGTGATAAATAAAGCTTTCAGTGATGTTTTTAATTATTAATTTGATCATATGTAATGTAGCTGCTGGACCAGTTGTCAACACCCTCTGAATTTCACTGAAGCACACTATTCATTTTTTCGTGCATTATGTGTGTGTGTGTGTGTGTGTGTATATATATATATATACTGTATATATAAATAGTGTGCTTCAGTGAAACACTACATATTACAAGCACTAGTATGCTTCATGTACCGGTGTATATATATATAGACACATTAAATTGATCAAAGTGACAGTTAATACATTTGTAATATTAATAGTGCTTTTGAACTTTCTATTAATCAAAAAACCCTAAAAACGTGTTACGGTTTCCACAAAAATATTTTTTTATTGATAATAACAAGAACTGTGTTTTGAGCAGCAAAGCAGCATATTAGACAAATTTCTGAAGGAACATGTAACTGAAGACTGAAGTAAATGCTGCTGAAAATTCAGCTTTGCCTTCACAGGAATAAATTACATTTGAAAATATATTAAAATGGAGAACATTTATATAAAAATGGTGGTAATATTTCACAACATTCCAGTTTTCCAAATAAATGAAGCATAAGAGACTTCTTTCAAAAACATTTACAAATCTTATTAAAACGGTAATATATATATATATATATATATATATATATATCACTAAAAAAATTAATCATGGGTCTTGTAATTTTCATTTTAAAAATTTAGTTTTTTTTAAATGATAATTAAAAATAGTGTGTATGTTTCATTAAAGAAATTGTGATTCAGTGTTTTATAGAAAATATTGAGGACATTTTACTAATAAAACCAAGAGATGTGTTTTCCTCATTTTTTTAAAGGAAACTTTAAGCAGTTTTGGGGCTTGAATTGAGGAACTGATTAAACTAAAAAACATTTAAGGAAAGAAGGCTACCTATTTATTTTAAGAGAATTAGCTCAATTTTTAAGTTTCAGTTTTATTTTAGAGGCGATTGTTAGTTCCCAGCATGCTTTGCATATGACTGGATATGGAGAGTAAATTTTGAAATTAAATGCAATTTTATGTGTTTTTGAGTGAAGGGAAACATCTATGAATGTTTAATGTTCAGTTATGTTTGACATTTGAAAGAGTTTCTGTTACATTGAAGTTTCCATTGCACAGTGCAATCGTTACCATTGTGCAGAAGAGTAGAGCTTATGGTTATGGCTGCTACTACTCTAAAGCATTAAGCCTAGTTCAATGAGCAGTAGCTTTGCTAGTGCAGTATTACCAGTATTTCTCAAGTATTTTCCTACTTGAGCTGTTTGGCTGTATGCAGTCTTTTAAAAGTCAAATACAATCAGACCTCACTCAAAATCACAGACTTTTGAGAATCAACTTAAAATAAATGAGCACATTTCACTAATGCTATTAAATTCATTGTGTCATAGATTAATTAATTTAGGAGATTTCACATGATTTATTCAGGTAGATTCCATAAAAAAATCAAGCCTGAAAAACTAAAAAATATTATGTGTAATATTGTTACCTTATTTTTTTAAGTAAATAGCTTGTTCCATTGTTTACAGTGATACACACACACACACACATGACCATTTTAATAAGAGTATAGGCCCTGTACTGTATATAGGCCTACTGTGTCAGTATCAGTGTACTGACTCTGTGAATTATGTCTTAAAGGAACAGCAGTCTATTCCTGCTGTCACTCACTTCTCTTGATTGAATACAGCTTTTGTAACTTCAACAAGGTTTGGTCTTTAATGCATACAGTGAAATATGCAGTTACTATTTGTTTACATTTAAATTTCTGTGCCTGAAAATTGTTTATTTGATTTTAATCTTTGCTCTATTGTATTAATTTGTGCAGCTGCATTAATTTGATTATTTGTTATTATTTTCTTTGTTTTTATTTGACCATAGTCCTTTTTTCCCTGAATAGCACATACCGAACCGTGACCCTAAAACCGTGATGTGCTCAAAAACGACATCTGTTCAGTCGTTACATCAATATTTTACGTCAATATTTCTCAATTTCACTGATTTTGAGCAGTATTGACTGTGCCTAACACTAGCCTACATGAAGACACTTCCATGTTTTGTTCACATAAATAACAGGCACTCGTATATCAACCTCAAATCCACTGTGCGCTTTAAAAACATAACTTACAAGTTGCTGTAAGGATACAAAGTTGATTGATCAAGGAAGTAAGAGGTTACGTAATTTATGTTATAGAGAAAAACTTGAAAGTATCTTCAAGTAGTCTAATGTAAAACATCGACCTTAATTTAGTCAAATCGAAAGTTCCATTTAAAAAAACCCATTAGAAATCCCCGCGGGATCCCATGTCTCAAAAAACGCTTTTCTTCGATTTTCTAACGGGTTTTAGTAGGCTACTACAAACTGCACAGCTCTATTGAAGGGTTAATGTAAATGTGAAAGAGACCGAATACCACCCGAAAGGCGTCAGACGGTCAGGAGATAACGTCCTGCTTTACCCCACCCGCCGGTTCCACCCTTTTCTAAAACAACGATACAGTTGTGGGAAGTGCAGACGCACCAAGCTCTGTCAACACAGAGTGTGTCGAATTCTGGTTAACTTGCTTAAAAGTAACCGTCCAAATCGTTTGAGTAACGTTTAATTCACTGCCGGGGTCTGGAAGGGTAGGCTACATGCTGTATTTTCCCCTCTTGCCCCAGTGCCATGGATACTGTAGCGGTACAGGTGGAGCCACTGACAGGCTGCTTCACAGTCACGTGATCCGGCTTAGAAGAAGCAGCGGCTGCAGAAATTGGTTACAATTTCATCGCCAGGCCACGGTCCAGTGGAAAAAGGGTGTTAATATAGTTTGCGCCTTTTCATTTCAACGATATAAACGCGAGGGCGACGGACCGCTTGTGTTATCATCTGTTAGAGCGAAGAGTGCAGGCAAGATCGGAGGAAAACATCGAAGCATCTGCAACAGCGTCGCGCGCAGGGAAGCAGGATCTTACAATCTGTGGGCTTGACTCCATTCAGTCGCACCACAGTTTGTAAAGGGACCTTTGCTGGCTGGACTTATTTCATGGCATGGCTGATTATCTAAATCCTTCGAGTGAGGCGTGAAAATGATCCTTATTGGATTTGACCCGTCGCTTTTTGGTGGATTGTGTAACGTGGAGCGATAAACTTTAACTGGCGTTCGGTTCATAACAGAGATGTGCTTAGATGTGCTCTGAATGGCTGGAATACTTTAAGGAACTCGCTGTGTGTGTGTGTGTGTGTGGTGGCTGAACAAGCTCTTGTGGATGCCAGACCTGTACGGATGAGAAGAACTCGTGGCTGGGACTACATCGCGCGTTGTGATGCTTCTTCTTTACTCTCTGTCTGATGTGAATTTGGATTTCTATAGTCAAATCTGCGCGTTTCTAGAATGGCTCGCTTCGAAGACGATCTTCCGACCCGGTATGGAGGCGGTGGCTCTCCAGCGGGTCCAGGCAGAGGGGCCAGCCGGCAGCCAGGCCCCCCGGGCGGACAGAGGATGTATAAGCAAACAATGGCCCAAAGAGCCCGGACAATGGCCATATACAACCCGATACCGGTCAAACAGAACTGTCTGTCAGTCAACCGATCCCTTTTCATCTTCAGCGAAGATAATATTATTCGGAAATATGCAAAGAAAATAACAGAGTGGCCATATCCTTTACATAAATCACAGGCACTTGTTCGAGGGCAAAATAGTACTGCAAACAGACCAATAATTCTGGTTCACCCATCAGTCTTAGTAAAACACTCGTTAAGGTCGCAAAAGTTTTGGCGGAAATAGAGGCATCGTTTTATTCAACACATAAGCGGTTATGCTAATATCGTGTCGGTTACAATCACTCTTATTGGATTGAAATGACATGCAGCATGCAGGGTGTTGTCTCGCTAATGGAGCAAACATTATTACAAAAGGGATCAGTCGCTTTCCTTTCACGAAATGCCTCTGGAAAAGGGCTCAGATTAGCTTTTAAGTACATTTGTGACTGGCATGTAATTCGTAATTGTTTGCATGCGATATATAGGCTAATGCAAGTCTCGTGACGTAAAATGCCATTTAGAGTTTTTATTGTTTTCATCCCTTTCACATCGAGCCACTGCGGTATTGATTCTTTTCAGTCAGGAAACGAGCCTCTCTGTCGCTCATGGCAACCAAAACAGCTCTTGCATTAGGCTGCCTAAATTGCTGTGCAGTCTCCGGAGACTTGCCCCTGGGAATACCAGTCATAAAGTAACTGAGATATACCTGCGTTATAATACGTTAGAATATAGCTTTCGCAGCTTATATTGTATAATGCAGTCAAAAAGCAATAAAGTTGATAGTCTAACCAATTTAAACGGAACAGGTTAGTGCTTTAAAATTATGGGCGCGCTAATATTATTCCCGAGGCCCAACCGGTGGTCCTCAAATCTGAATGGTTCCGTATGTTAATGCTTGAGGGGCTGTTTTAGTCGCTCTCCAAGGTGCTGAAACACCTACGCATTTAAATCTCGTCCAGGGAAATGTGGAAGTGATGGAGGCCAATTGAGCGTCTAAATGTAAAATGCCCATTTTTACCACAAGTGAATAACAATTAGAATTAACATTTCGATTCTGGTTTCTTAACATTTAATGAACAAACAAGATATTTGACGTCTTGTTTATCTGGCAAAAATGTGTTGCTATTTGCAGCAAAAAATTTCATTTTTTTTTAAATGAGAAGGCCAACACTGACTGACCAATAAAAAAAATAACCAAATGTTAAAATTGTTATCAAGTTCTGTTTTTAGTCATAGTCATAAACAATCAAGCAATGAGTTGTTTCATCAAACAAACTATAGCTAATCACTGGTAGTTGAGATACGGTACAAAACATGTCTCACAGCGTCACCTGCCAGCCTTACCTGTGAAATCAATTAGATGGCGCTGAAAATCAGTTTGAACCATAATGGTGGGTAAAACACATTTTGTGAGAAATGGAAATTGTACCCAAACATCCAGTTCAGTACCTCCGAACATGCTGAAGCTGAATGAAATAATCCAAAATACTTCCTTTATACATAAACCATTTTTTGTTTTTATTTGTTTAGCCTGTTTTGTCCCAGTTCTCAAGAACTGGTTTAATTTTAAGCACCAAGGGAGTATAATTAATCAAATTCCCCATTTATTGAGGTTGTCCTTATGTTCAGACTACAATGAGTCTACAAGCCTGACGCAAATGTGTTTAGAGAAGTGCCACGGGAAATAATTATCCTCCTCCCCACTAACCAGCAGCTCTGTGAGGAATGACGCAGTTCACACAGCTCTTGACTGAGCCAAAAGGTGCATGAGATGAAGTGAGAGAGTTTTTAATCAATAATTCTCATGAAAAAACTTACAGTGGAGTTATAATACGGTGCATTTTAAATATTTGTCCAATACAATCTAGGTGGCTCATTAACGAGAATTGCTGATAAAAACGGTCTCTCTTCATCTCAGGTACCATATGACTCAGGCAAGAGCTGTGTGAACTGCGTCATAGACACCTTCAAGTGTATATTAGCTCTAAATGCCAGTCATTTATTCTTTATACTGTTCTTCATTGATTTCTAGTTGACAAACTTGCTTGATGATCATGTTATTGCTGTGAATTAATTCCAACTATTTATATCCTTAACACCATCACTCCATTTGAGTACATGATTCTCGCCACCATTATAGCAAACTGCATTGTACTGGGCCTAGAGCAGCATTTACCAGCTTCAGACAAGACACCCATGTCAAAACGACTGGTAAGTTGGACTTTCCCACCCTAAACAGCAATTTAAAACATAAACATAAAACTGTCATTTGAGTATCCTTATTCTTTATGTTCTAGTCTCTTTTGGAGCATTACCATAAAAAAAAGTTCTATTCAAATGCAGAAAGCTGTTACTTTCTAAACTTTTCATTGTTTTCACCAAAGTCTTTTAAAATAGCAGTTATTAATGTAGGTCAACAGTTTGTGCAGCCCACATTTGCATGATTCATTTAGCAGACACTTCGATCCTTTGTGAGCTGCTGTCATTCAGCAGATCTCTTAACAGCCCTCCTAAATTGATCCACAGATCTTTGATGATGCTTGACAATTGATTGACATTTCAGCGTCTATAATAAAAGAGGATAATAAACTTAAAATGGACTGTCCTCTAAGACTTGTAGTATTCAGTGTTTTTCTGTATCACATAAGAGATTTTTCTTAAACAAAAATGAGCGCTTACATGTGCTTTATTATTTTAAAAATCTATTGCTTACTATTTGATTTCGTTTTTGTCTCAGCATCTTACTTCCATAGTAAGGTTGAATATGTGATTCCCTTATGTACTGGTATTAGAGGTATTTGCTTTAAATATAAAATAGCTGTTTTTATAGCAAAAGGCTCCCTATTTTCAACCTTTAATTTGCTTTATTTTACTGTATTGCATTGCTGTAGTGTTCTAATGAGAAGGCCAACACTGACTGACCAATAAAAAAAATAACCAAATGTTAAAATTGTTATCAAGTTCTGTTTTTAGTCATAGTCATAAACAATCAAGCAATGAGTTGTTTCATCAAACAAACTATAGCTAATCACTGGTAGTTGAGATACGGTACAAAACATGTCTCACAGCGTCACCTGCCAGCCTTACCTGTGAAATCAATTAGATGGCGCTGAAAATCAGTTTGAACCATAATGGTGGGTAAAACACATTTTGTGAGAAATGGAAATTGTACCCAAACATCCAGTTCAGTACCTCCGAACATGCTGAAGCTGAATGAAATAATCCAAAATACTTCCTTTATACATAAACCATTTTTTGTTTTTATTTGTTTAGCCTGTTTTGTCCCAGTTCTCAAGAACTGGTTTAATTTTAAGCACCAAGGGAGTATAATTAATCAAATTCCCCATTTATTGAGGTTGTCCTTATGTTCAGACTACAATGAGTCTACAAGCCTGACGCAAATGTGTTTAGAGAAGTGCCACGGGAAATAATTATCCTCCTCCCCACTAACCAGCAGCTCTGTGAGGAATGACGCAGTTCACACAGCTCTTGACTGAGCCAAAAGGTGCATGAGATGAAGTGAGAGAGTTTTTAATCAATAATTCTCATGAAAAAACTTACAGTGGAGTTATAGTACAGTGCATTTTAAATATTTGTCCAATACAATCTAGGTGGCTCATTAACGAGAATTGCTGATAAAAACGGTCTCTCTTCATCTCAGGTACCATATGACTCAGGCAAGAGCTGTGTGAACTGCGTCATAGACACCTTCAAGTGTATATTAGCTCTAAATGCCAGTCATTTATTCTTTATACTGTTCTTCATTGATTTCTAGTTGACAAACTTGCTTGATGATCATGTTATTGCTGTGAATTAATTCCAACTATTTATATCCTTAACACCATCACTCCATTTGAGTACATGATTCTCGCCACCATTATAGCAAACTGCATTGTACTGGGCCTAGAGCAGCATTTACCAGCTTCAGACAAGACACCCATGTCAAAACGACTGGTAAGTTGGACTTTCCCACCCTAAACAGCAATTTAAAACATAAACATAAAACTGTCATTTGAGTATCCTTATTCTTTATGTTCTAGTCTCTTTTGGAGCATTACCATAAAAAAAAGTTCTATTCAAATGCAGAAAGCTGTTACTTTCTAAACTTTTCATTGTTTTCACCAAAGTCTTTTAAAATAGCAGTTATTAATGTAGGTCAACAGTTTGTGCAGCCCACATTTGCATGATTCATTTAGCAGACACTTCGATCCTTTGTGAGCTGCTGTCATTCAGCAGATCTCTTAACAGCCCTCCTAAATTGATCCACAGATCTTTGATGATGCTTGACAATTGATTGACATTTCAGCGTCTATAATAAAAGAGGATAATAAACTTAAAATGGACTGTCCTCTAAGACTTGTAGTATTCAGTGTTTTTCTGTATCACATAAGAGATTTTTCTTAAACAAAAATGAGCGCTTACATGTGCTTTATTATTTTAAAAATCTATTGCTTACTATTTGATTTCGTTTTTGTCTCAGCATCTTACTTCCATAGTAAGGTTGAATATGTGATTCCCTTATGTACTGGTATTAGAGGTATTTGCTTTAAATATAAAATAGCTGTTTTTATAGCAAAAGGCTCCCTATTTTCAACCTTTAATTTGCTTTATTTTACTGTATTGCATTGCTGTAGTGTTCTATGGAAGAACAACAGTTTAATGAAAGTTGTAAAATATTCAGTGCAGTTGCCACTGAGAGATTTCTGATTCTTTTTACATTTAGTTTTCATTGTAAACTTGCGTCTTGTGTCTTATTTTGTATGAATATCTACTCCTATCTTTCCTCACTCATGACAGGATGACACTGAACCCTACTTCATTGGAATATTTTGCTTCGAGGCCGGGATCAAGATCATCGCTCTAGGCTTTGCTTTTCATAAAGGCTCCTACCTCCACAATGGGTGGAATGTAATGGATTTTGTTGTTGTGTTGACGGGGTAAGTTCAAATATTCTTCAGATTGTTATTCACTGAATAGTTACTGTAAGTTTTTTATGTCAATTTTAAACTTTAAACCAAAGGAAAGTGCTATATATAAAACATATGGGCATGGTCTGTCACAAGAGAAAAAAAAGGCCAATTGTTTTGTCATTTTAATGCTATGGTTGACAAAAACCTCAAGTGGAATTGAGTTGAGAAGCAGATTGGTCTGCTTGACCCTGGCACAGGCAGTGTAGAGCAGAGGTCCTGTACATAGATAAATGATGTTTGTGAATCTTGCCTGCAGTCAGGCCAGGGGTCTGGATGCGGGGGGATATGGCTTGTGCTCCAGTAGTACAACTGTCTGGTGCTTTGGAGGTGTAATGGGGTGGAGAGGAAGCTACTTCATCTCCAGCAAGGCATACAGAGGGAACATACTGATCCTTATTTAAAGTACTATAATCTGGTGTAGATGATTGTTGCTGTCAGCATTGTTTGCCTTCAAATATCACTGTATTACCTTTGGTTGTTTTTGAAGTGTTTCTGAAAAGGAGGCGAACATTCAATACCAGGATGCAGCTTGTTTGTTTAGATGTTCCTGTTACTGTGGAAATTACATGGTGGTTATTGCATTGCAATTGTTTTAGTTGCATTTCCAATGTTTGTGAGTAAAAAAAGTCATATTATCGCAAGGGATTTTCTCATTCGGTGTAGTGCAATGCTATTTTCACTAAGTATCGATTAAATTCTTGTTTAGTACACTGAAAAATATTAGTGTAGAAACTGTTTTCCATCAGTAATTGCTAGTAAATTTCACAATCAGTTACAAAGAAATGGCAAATAACACGTTGAATTAAACAAAATTTTGAAGTAAAAAAACTCTTCTTCTTTTATTTATTTTGCTTTATTTACAACATTTTTATTTACAAATAATTTTCTTACAGTGTAGCAGGGTTATTATAGTTTACTGAAACGAAAACTATAAACATTTTAGGTACTTGAAATTAAATAAATGTTAACTGAAATTAAATAAAATATCAAAAAAAAAATTTGTTTCAGGTAGTTACTAAGGAAACTTGATGTTAAAATTCAATTAAAATATGGAATATGGAAAGTATAAAATAATCTAATTAAAAATACACTCTTAAAAAATCTGTAAAAAAAATAGGGCACAATGTACTGTATTCTTATGAAGGAATTTTCTGCATTAATATTTTACAGGTGTTTTACCTGTATTTTGAATTTTTTTACTGCATTGAGTTGTGCTTTAGGGTTAACGGAAATGCCTGTAAAATTAATGGATAATCCTTTCAGAAAATTATCAATACATTCTGCTTTTTTTTTGACAGTGTATTAATAAAAGCTGTAATATTATTTCAATAGAGGATCACCAGCAGACTTATATGAAATTGAAGGAAGAGTTTATGTAATTTAAAATGGACAACAAGTGTGACAACATGACTGGCTCCACTGGTTGAGGGGCCCCAGGGTTATGCGCTCATCCCGAGGGACTGTGCCGTGACAGGCATGGTGTTACAGTGGAGCTGGTCCCTGTATGGTTACTGGCACCACTAGGGAGTGTCCTACCTTTCTCTGCCTAATGGCAGGGAGATTTATTTTGTCCATCCACAGAGGCTTACGTCAGCCCATCACCTCACTGCAATAAACAGATTTAGTGGAAGCAGTTCTGTTCCTGCAGCGGAAAATGCTGTGCAGAAAGCCTGAGGATATAGAGCTCTCAATTTGCCTCTAGACATCTGAGGCAGCCTGCTGAGTTTATTTATAACAGACATAAAGAAGTCACATTATAACAGTGTCTGTCTTAAATTAGACATTTATATCCCTTTATATTTATATGTGTGAATATATATATATATATATATATATATATATATATATATGATATTTGTAAATAGTGAATTTATATTTTTATGTGAATAAAAAGAAACTAATTAATTTGCATTTAAATGCATTTTTGCTTTTAATTCATAAAAAATATATATAATATTTACAAATAATAGTAATATGTCAAATGAAAATGTTGTCTTTTTTGTGGTTTTATTTTGTCTTTTAATTTATTCAATTCGGTGGTTTAATTTTATTTTTCCTTTTATTTTAATTTATTATAATACACATGGAACTTATTGTTAACGTAATGTTTAATCTGTCTGTCTATTTCCTTAGTATTTTATTGGTGAAAATCAGTTGATTTAGCAGTTTCTGTCACCTTCAGTGCAGGCAGGTCCATCACTCAGATCGTAATATCACTAACAGGAGACAGATATGCTTCATTAAAGGGGATAATAATCATAATCGGAGCATACTTTAAAAGGGTCCGAACACAAGCAGTTCAATATGAATGGTCTTGGTCAAGACTTATTGATACTTGTTTCAACCCCAGACTGGACGTATGGAAAAGATTTTGAATTGGTTGTGTATTAGCTGTAGGTAGACTCATGCTAACTGCAGTGGAGCCAATCAGAAAAGTCCTTTGTATGTTTTTCTTATTCTTCATGTTTGTTTTTACATCATTTATTTTATTGCATTCAATATTGTTTCACACAGAACAACAGTTTCGTCTACATTTTATATTATGAAAATAATAAAAGTTATATATTAATAAAATAAGTATTATTCCCCTCCTTTAACCAGTGTCACAGCTCTAATGTGCCTCTAATAAGATCTTTGGACTTGCTAATAAGAGAACATATCTGACTCTCTGGGTTCACATCTCGATCAATACTGTATTGAACCAAACAGTAAGGGAATGGCTTTGCTACAGCACTCTTCTTTATAGCTGTGTGTTGGAGCACTGTACTCCTTCTCTCCCTCTCTCCTTGCTCCAACCAGTTTTAGCGGGTGAGGGGTGTGGTGTTGACCAGGGATCATACTGCGATGAATCGAATGGCCGCTGGGGTTCCCTGCTCAGATCAGTCACTCTTAATGAGCTGCCTGGGTTCCCTGGAGGACGATTATGTTCGCAGCCTTGTGTTCTTCTGGGCCCCCATAGAAAAGGGTCCTGAGGAGGGCTTTGGATTATGTTGAGGAAATGTGTTGTGTCATCACAGCAAGACTGTGATGAGCTTTTGTTAGTAGACGTTATGTGGTGTGAGGCTTGATAGCTGAGAATTTTTATCGATACTAATTTAGCCTGAGATATATGATGCATCCAAGAGATCCGATAATGCATTACAAGAAAGCAGACACTCATTTTATATTCTTCTAAGTCTGTTTCCCATAACACACATTGTTTCCTTTTTGCTTATTCTTATTCGTAATAAACCTAGAAGAAAAAGTTTAATTAAATAAATAAATAATAAATACAAACAATATACATATCTAAAAAATATATAAATATATATATAAATATAGAATATAATACATAATGTAATCATATATTTTAGTTTTTTTTATTTAAATATCTTGAAATGAGAATTTCTTCAAATTTGAGTCATTTAATACACACGTCTAAAAGTCTGAAATAACATGATTTAAAAAAAGGAGTCTCAAACTCGGTTGATAAATTCCAGTTGAACATTAACAAAAAATGCAAATGTTTTTTGCAAAATGATTTTTTAAATTCATCATACAGTTATTGGCTCGATACAGTTGGCAGTTTGACGGATGTTTACCCAATTTTTTGGGACGGATGTGAGCATAGGTTCCCTTTCAGTCGGTCACTCTCGACGTCACATCAGAGGACTGACGAATTGGGATCTCGCTTAGAGGGACCAATCTACTTCGAGATGGGGGAAGTCGTGGCCTAATGGTTAGAGAGTCGGACTCATAACCCAAAGGTTGTGGGCTCGAGTCTCGTACCGGCAGGGATTGTAGGTGGGGGGAGTGAATGTACAGCACTCTCTCCCACCTTCAATACCATGACTGAGGTGCCCTTGAGCAAGGCACCGAACCCCCAACTGCTCCTGGGCGCCGCAGCATAAATGGCTGCCCACTGCTCGATACAGTGTGTGTTCACGGTTTGTGTGTGTGCACTTTGGATGGGTAAATGCAGAGCACTAATTCTGAGTATGGGTCACCATACTTGGCCACATGTCACTTCACATTTTTAACTAAACGAGCCAATGCACATTGGCATGCGATTATTGGATCCAGCTGCTGCTGATCACAGCGTGAGTATAATTAGGCAGCAGATGCAGTGCATATTCAGCTTTTCGCTTCGGAGCCGAGCAATCACATCGT